TGAGTTTCATTGCTATTGTATAATTTAAACACAGAAGAAAAATATTTTTCTAGCAGCTTCTTCTATCCCAGCCCTGCCCAATAATGGGCTGCAGCAAATTTCAAGCCAATACTGAAAAATTAAACTTAATTTTCACATTTAATATGCACCTTGCTGATCACTTTTCAAAGGTGAATTTTCCTCTACGCCATTTAGCAAATATGTTTCCTAAATTCAAGCCAGTTCCAAATCCTAAAATGGAAAAGGCAATTTGGAGCAGGTTTTCATTTTGTCAGGGTATAACATACACTATTTGGGTTTTTTCTACTGATTACTGGTCTTCACAGAAGTTGATCTGTTTATCCAGAGCTCCAATAAAAAGCCATGGAATATGAAGAAAGAGAATGTAGGTTTAAGTGACACATCGAAGCTTGCAGAATCAAACATCTTTTGGAGTATTCAGTTCATGGGCAGGAAAATAAATTCTTTATATTATTATTTTCTCCACCAAGTGAGTCTGACATTTTGTTGGTTGTGTAGCCTTTTATCCTGACCAAGTTGTGGTTATGAACTGATTTATGGGAAAAACATCAAATCCACCCATCTTCCCCCACTGCAAACTTGACGGTCAGCATCATCTCATTGCAAAGAGTATCATCATTTATACTAAGATATTAATTATTTAAATTTCTTATGGGCTTCTCCAATCAATAAACATTGAGCAACATACAACTCACTAAAACTGCAACTTGGGTTAAAACAGATTCATGATAATGAAAAATTAAAACCCAAACATACAACATAAGCAATTATGTGCACCAAGAGGCAAACATTCCAAATGATACCAATCAAACAGATGTTCATCCACAAATAGCCCTATTCGCCCTGCCAAGATTGATAAAAGAAGCCAAATCTGTATTGAGCTTCTGAAGATACAAGGACGTCCTGGGGTCCAGGCCATACTATAACTGATGAGAGGCGTAGTAATTGAAAAGACAGGTTTCTGCACACTCTGTAGGTAATAATCTCTGACTGAGGAAATATGTAAATATCTTGTTCTATTAGATGCTACTGGGAAGATAGATGACTCCCCCAAATTTTTAATTTTTCATTTCATTTCATTTATTAAATTTCTATGCCGCCCAATCCCGGAGGACTCCGGGCAACTTACAGAAATGAAAAAAAGATTAAAAAGAATTATTAAAAACAATTGGACACAACAAGGTTAAAAACGCAAACACAACAAACACCCAATCAGGAGGGGGCTGGACCTCAATCAGGGGGTCACCAGCCCAAAGCCTGCCGGAAAAGCCAGGTTTTAATGGCTTTGCAAAAGGCCATGAGAGTGGGTAGGGCCTGGATCTCTGGG